ATACAAGGACTTATTCAAATCGGATGACATTTGCTACGGTCAAGGTATGAAATTTCTCGTCTTCACTTGTTTTCCATATTTTTCAAATGTGTTTGGTGTTGTTTTGAAATTTTTTATTTTTGTTGTTCACGTTTTTGAAAATAAATAATAAAAAAAATTGAAAACACTTATCCCTTTCATTTTTGTACGAAAGCAGTTCCTATAAATTGAGAAAATAATTTAGAAGTATTTCTTAAAAAAAATAGATGTTCTCAAAAATATTTTCAATTAAAAAAAAATTAGCCAAAAAGTTTTCTGCATCACTTTTTCTTTTTCTTTTTAATTTTAGAAGAAAAAAATGAAAATAGTACCAAACATGAAGTATGTTTTTTTTTTTTTTGTTTTTTGTTTTTCCTTTGTATTTTTTATTAGGTCGTTTTCATTTTTATCTCTTAAACTATCATCATGTATTCTTTTTCTTTCAATTTCGTCTAATTAGTTGCTATATTTTCTAATGTGATCAAATTGGAGATGATTGTCTATTGACAAAAAGACTAATTCATTGGTTAAAAATAAGTCGACAAATGCAAAAAAAACTAATTTATGTAGCACATTCTTAACTTTAATGATTTTTCTACAGGCATTTGAGTGGTTAATTCATTGGCTAAAAATAAGACTACAAAAACTTAATGTGAAAAAAACTAATTTATTTAGCACATTCTTTAACTATAATGATTTTTCTACAGGCTTTTGAGTAGTTAAAGTTCATTTTTTGGTGAAACATGAATTAATTAGATATGATAAGGCTTTTGAGAAAAATAATTTTTTTTAATCAACAAGTCGGTTTTTAAACCATAGCCCAATGAAAAATAAATTAGTAACCGCTAAGGCCAACTTGATGGGCAAAAATGTCATTTCAAAATTTGAACAATTAAACCACACAACGCAACACTTATTTTTCTTCCTCACTATTTTGAAATAAGGGGTGAAGAAGAATATGGGAATTTGGTTATGGGAAAACCTATGGTGTGCACCCTTTAAGGATGCATACCATATGTATCCTACCACAAATTGGTGTAACTTTACTGTAAAATTTCGTAACATCAATCATAAAATACGTAATCTCGACACAAATTAGCATAACGAAGTGTCCAAAATTTTGTGGTTCATGAAATAAAAGTTCATGATTTGATTACGACATTTTTTGTTACTCCAATTTGTGGTGTGGTTACATATTTTATGATTGATATTACGAAATATTATAATAAAGTTATGCCAATTTATGATAAGGCACATATAGCACTACAAGAAATGTCACTTTTGGCTACCAAAATATTGGTCGCCAAAAGTCACTTATTTAGTCGCCAAAATGAATTAGCGACCAAAATTTTTCGTCGCTAAGCTCGTCGCCTTTACCCTGTCGGCGATAGTATTGCCGACTAAAATCTTTTTGGTCGCCGAAAGTGTACACATTTGGCTACTAAATTGGCTTTAGTCGGCAAAAGTTATGCTTCCCCTACTAAAATAATTGGTCGCCGATAATCAGCATTTGGCTACGACTTTGAGTTTAGTCGGCAAAATATATGTTTCTGCCACTAAAGAATTGGTCGCGGAATTAGGCTTTTTGGCTACCAACCTGTGGTGGTCAGGGAAGGTTCACTTTTAGCTACTAAAAAATTGGTCGCCGAAAGTGCATATTTGGCTACTACTTTGAGTTTAGTCGGCAAAAGGTCTGTTTCTGCCACTAAAGTATTAGTCACTAAAAGTGCTACCATAATTTAAGAATAACTATTAGAGACCAAACATTTTTGTCACCAATAGAATACATATTTTTAGTGACTAAGTAATTTTTGTCATTGGTACTTTTGCCCACTAAAAGTTTTGTAGCCAAAAGCCTGCTCACATTCACTTCTTCATTTTTTGCCACCAAACATTTTAGTCGCCAAATGACACCATATTTTTTCCGTGACTAAAAAATTTAGTAGCCAATACTTTCTTTATCTCTTTCTCAATTGTTTTAGCTACTAATTATTTGGTCGCAACAAAGAATTGGTCGCGGAATTAGGCTTTTTGGCTACCAACCTGTGGTGGTCAGGGAAGGTTCACTTTTAGCTACTAAAAAATTGGTTGCCGAAAGTGCATATTTGGCTACTACTTTGAGTTTAGTCGTCAAAAGGTCTGTTTCTGCCACTAAAGAATTAGTCACTAAAAGTGCTACCATAATTTAAGAATAACTATTAGAGACCAAACATTTTTGTCACCAATATAATACATATTTTTAGTGACTAAGTAATTTTTGTCATTGTTACTTTTGCCCACTAAAAGTTTCGTAGCCAAAAGCCTGCTCACATTCACTTCTTCATTTTTTGCCACCAAACATTTTAGTCGCCAAATGACACCATATTTTTTCCGTGACTAAAAAATTTAGTAGCCAATACTTTCTTTATCTCTTTCTCAATTGTTTTAGCTACTAATTATTTGGTCGCAACAAATTAATGGGTTATGTTTTTGCTACTAAATTCTTAGTCACCAAAACATTTGATTACATATTTAGCTACCAAAATATTTGGTGGCCAAATACGTTAACATTTTTTTTTAATTAAAATATTTGGTGCACCTATATCCATTATTAACACAACCTGTATCCATCAACGGTAAATATGTTATGAAGCATTCAACAACAAAGGGGGAAAAAATCATTAGTTCGGTGCGTGTAATGGCACTTCTGGACGACATATATATATCGTAATAATTTCAAACATTAAAAGACAAGGAGAGTGATATCTATTAACTAATGCAAGACATCCAAACATGAACCCATCATGAGTTCTTGTTTTAGTTTTTTTATCTCTAAATCTATCGAAGTAAATTTTAGTACTTAAATGTGAAAGTAAATTGTGTAGGTATTATGAAATTACCAAAATTTTGGGTGTACTTACCATTTCATCCAAAAATTATTTGTTATAAAAATGTAAGAAAACCCATCATTACAGTTTGTCTGGTATCCATAAAACTCACTATGCTTATGCTTTTGTGACCTCCACGAAGCTTCCAGTTACGTTAGTTCAGTGTTTTTCTGACCTCCACGAATGGAAATTAATATGGTCTTTTTCTTCATAAAAGATTCTAATTTTCTCAATATAATCATTGAAATTTTGGAAACACTTTCCTTAAAGAACAAACTAATTAGTGGGTTTATAGATGTAGATATGCTTCTGTTTGTGAATGAGTAATGCCTTGGGTTCTTTATAGGCTTATGGGGACGAGATATATAAGATTATGCTTAACTATTCTTCCATTACACTATCTAATTTTGATACGTACCTTCAATACTTAGCTTCTTTAGTCCTAAATTCCCTATTCTGTTGCTGAGGAATTATCATCCCTTCAGCCAAATCTTGAGGCCATGTTATGTATATGAACTATCTATTGTTCAACTATTGACAATAATAAAAAATCTAATGGCCTTCCAATAAAAAATCTAATGGCCTTCCAATAAATTACAATTTTTGATAGAGAACGAAAGATTAAGAAATCATTTGACAATAATAAACAATTCAAACAATCTCTCATTTATTACACCTAAAATTAAAATTAATCTTTACTTGACCTACATGTCACATTTATCACCGGGAAGCTTCCCATTACGGAAAAATAATGGCTCAGGGGCTGTTTTGCATTTTCGGCCCCCGAACCCCTTTTTTCGACAAAGTTTATGACATTTTCAACTCTAATTCCCAAAGTAGGTGTCCTATTTATGTACCGTCTGTCCGTAGATGTCACATTTATCACCGGGAAGCTTCCCATTACTAGAAAATAGTGTTTCGGGGGCTGCTTTGCATTTTCGCCCCCTGAACCCCTTTTTTCGACTCTACTTTGCATTTTTGCCCCCCGAACCCCTATTTCCGACTAAGTTTATGACATTTTCAACACTAATTCCCAACGTAGGCATGCTATTTACGTACCGTCTGTCCTACATGTCACATTTATCACCGGGAAGCTTCCCGTTATGAGAAAATAGTGTTTTGGGGGCTATTTCGCATTTTCGCCCCCCGAACCCCTTTTTTCGTCTAAGTTTATGAATTTTTCAACTCTAAATCCCAACGTATGTGTCCTATTTACGTATCATCTGTCCCAACGTGTCACTTTTGTCACCGGGAAGGTTACCATTACTTTTAAACACATATTCGAGTTACTATTCAAAATACCACTGTTGAAGTTTACATGTTATTCTAAACGAAGATTGAAATTCACTATGTTTTTTTAACATGTTTCTACTATAGTTAATCTTAATCAAGTACATATTTTAAATACAAGTTCATTGTTAAGAAAACTCAATACCAAACTCTAGTAACTACACAAGAAATCATTAACCCCAAATAACTCACAAATTGATGACATTTTCAACTCTTCAAGCGAACATATTTAAACAAAGTAAGTGTGACATTAATGAAATTGTTCTTACCAAAAAACAAACGTCGGATGCCCAACTTAGATTCCCAAGAGTTGTGACAGTTTGGCGACTACGTTATTGAGATGCTCGACCTTTGTATTTGTCTCGTCCCTTGTCTTTTGTCCCTCCTCCCGCTCTTTCAACATCTCATTGGATAATTGAATGCGCTCCTCTCGTTCTTTCAACAGCTCATTGTAACATCTCTAGCGCTCCTCTCGCTCTTTCATTAACTCGTCATGATCCTTTTGCCGCTCCTCACGAAGTGCCTCCACCTCAGCTCGCATTGCCTCCATGTCCTTATCGTGTGCTCGTGTTGCAAATATGGTAGACGGTTGTGGGCCACTCCCAAATCCAAGCAAGTACTTTCTCTTCTGTCCAAGCACTTGCCTTGAAATCTCCTCTTGTGTCAATGGCGTCCCTGACTCGATGGCAGCCGCTTGTACATTGACCATCTCTTACTGTCATTTCAAATAAATAAGGGTTAAAAAACTTTGGCAACATATATGTATTATTGGGTACTAAGTACAAGAAAATATTGAATACATATATTTCCTTGTCACCTACTTACATGCAGCTCACGGCATTTCGGATGGATCCAGTCATTCGTTTCTTTGAAGTGTGGCTGTCCTCATAGAACTTTGGGAAATCCAACTCTCCATCTTTTGCTACCTGTTAACACATCAATGTATAAATCAATGACACTTTATGCACCAAACAGACAAATTTCTATGAACAGATTTTTAAACAAATTGCTGGACAGATTGGGAGACAGATTTGGAGACAGATTTTAAGACAGATTTTCTGCCAGATTTGAAGCCAGATTCGTATTCAATTTTAAAAATAAATTAAAATTGCTCTAAACACCAAACATGTAGGTTATTACCTAAATGGGATTGAATATGTGTACTTGTTGCAGTCCATCATTGATTTTTAAATATGCGATATTGATATTTTAAGGATGAGCCCCAACCTAGCCTTAATGGGGAGTACGGTGCTATGACTTTCATGGTGAATCATTTTGATCGGCACTATTGTGGCAAGTGTGGCTTCACCTATGTTTATCAGAAGTCTGGTGGTGATTAATCCTTTGATTTCAACTTTGAATTACTGTTTGTGTTTTTGTTTTAGTGCGGAAGGTTATGGATTTGTGTTAAAGTTTGAATTTTGATGGCTTATTTCTATTCTACTGCTTTAGTTGTTAAACATGAGATGGATTCTTCTTAAATTAAACGAATCTTTGACATATGGTGTGGTGTTATTTCCACTGGCCTTTTTTTGGTTTGTTGATGATTTATGCCCAAACTTTGTTTTCATCTATTTGATGCATATGTGTGAGTTGTCCTGAAACTTATGAAAAAAACTAATGAGAATGAAGTGGGTGTTTCTAAACTTTTTATGACAAATCAATTGATTAGATACTGATATCAAATGAATATTATTGTGGTTTTAGATTATACAACACACAATTCTTTAATAGATGTATCAAAAAAATGAATCCTCTATGCTGACACACTTTTCCTTTTCCAAATCCTTCAACCAACATAGTGGCAGTGAATTATAGGTGGAAATTGGTAGTATGACAACAGTTGGAAGTCCTATTTTGTGTTTAAATAAATAAAAAAAAAAACCTAGAGAAAATATTTAGATGATCTTTTCCTTACTAGACTAATGATTGGGTGTTATTCTTAAGTATGAGATGATCTTTTCCTTATGGGCCAATTAAGTATAAGATATTTAGACTGTAGTACTTAGCACCAAAGTTTGTCTTTCTCACTAAGAATTTTCCATCCCAGTTTAATGAGAAGGGATGCATTGTCATCTTTAGCTTTTCTAATACCTAGTCCCCCTTCAACTTTTGTTTTACACACATTATCCCAACACACCAAATGAACTTTCTTCCTGCTATCAGTGTCCCTCTAGAGAAAATTTATGTTCAATCTGTCAATATCATTACAAAGGCTCCTAGGAAGTTCCATAGTTTGCATGTTGTAACTGGGAATAATTGAACATGGTCTTGTTAACTCTTTTATGGAGAAATAGGGATCCCAGGTATTTACCAAGATCTTACGTCAGGGGGATCCTACTTTGAAAGATGTGTGTGTGTGTGTGTGTAGGAGAACATAACATTTTTCATATCCAAACAACATATAATGGATTCAAGTTTAAAAAAAATCGAACTCACCATAGCAGCCATTGCGATAGGAAATGAGCGAGACCCATTGGTATGATTGTACGGCAATTGACTCCTATTACTCTTGCCAGCTTTTGACCGTTTCTAAAAATAAGTCAAGCAGATAAACAATTTTTTTGTCAATATTAAGGCATATCACATTTTCACATAGATGTATGTACTCTATCTAGTCTATTATTTTACCTGGTGAGATGCATCTTGCCATGCCACATCGATCAAATGCTTCCAATCATCTAAACTCACCCCTATCGGCGGATGAGCATAGATCTCATCACGTGGAAGTCCCTCTAACAATTCGAATTCTTGCTTCAAGGTGTACCTCCAATCTTTGTACAACCCATAGGCCTTCTTATTCACAATCTCCTGTGCTTGTAAGTCATTGTGGAAATCGTCTCCAATTTGAAACTTGTCCTACATGCAAAACAAATTGAAATAGTAATCATTACATATTAGTCTTTCTTATTACTCACATAATACAATTACATATTGTGGACAAGTAATATTAGTTACAATAACTCCTTGGATGACGGCAGCTTTAGTAGTCTCATCAAGATCCAGCCATGACTTCACATCTTTCAAAGGGCACGAAGTTGCCATGCCTCTTCGGATCAAGTGCATCCACACAACTTGTCTGCTATATTTTGTGCCATTAATGCAATCGACACACGGACACCTAATTTCATCCTCTACGCCTAAATTTGCCGTAGCAAAATCAAGGAATGACTTCACCCCTTGTTGATACTCTTTACTTGTCAACCGATTATTTATCGTCATCCAACTCTTGTCCATTTTGTCACCTACAACTCACACAAACATTAACCGAGGAAGCCATGAGAACACGCATTTCAAGTTGAGATAGATTAGGTTGTTTTTCATTCACTGTTTGGCTTGTCACATAAATCTCTTTTAGGGTGGAACTTTATGACATGATTAGTTCTAAAACAAGTTAATTTAAGAAATGACCCGTAATTTTGGACCACTAGATAGCATAACTAGTAGAGCACTAGTACTAGAGAAACTATATGGTCAATGATAGAATGATATATCAAAATAATGAAAACCATGTCATGCTCTTCACAATGTGTGTGCATGACATGTTATTTATTAAAAAAAACAAGTAAAGACAGAAACACATTTCCAACAGTTGGCTCTACATGGCAACTGTGCATGTCCGCAAATGCATATTCACACATTTCCAACCTAAGCTTTGGGCATAAACGAGCTTTCTCCTTCTTTGGAAATATGGACTTAAATTACTAAGGAGGCAACATGAGCAATATGCCGCCATGATGCAAGCATCATAAATTTCCAACCTGAACTAAAATGGAAGCATCGAGGTTATATTCTCCTAAGTTCCCATACAAAGAGCAGCCTCCTTGTACTTTTTTTATGTAATGATGTTTAAAAATTACTCACATGTAATTATCATGTTTGCCAAGTAGTTTCCAAGAATTTAACAAGTCAATGCTATCCATTCAAGACAAGGCAATGCTATCCATCCACAAACTACCATGCTTATTTATAGCACAGAAG